GGGCGCACCCTTAGAGATAGGGTGAGGAGCTCGGTCACCCAGGAGGAGCTCAGAGTAGAACCGCTGCTCCTCCACATCGAGAGGAGCCAGCTGAGGTGGCTCGGGCATCTGTTTCGGATGCCTCCTGGGCGCCTTCCTAGGAAGGTGTTCCGGGCATGTCCCACTGGGAGGAGACCCCGGGGAAGACCGAGGACACGCTGGAGGGACTATGTCTCTCGGTTGGCCTGGGAACGCCTTTGCATTCCCCCGGAGGAGCTGGAGGAAGTGTCTGGAGAGAGGGAAGTCTGGCTATCTTTGCTTAGACTGCTGCCCCCGCGACCCGGTCCTGGATAAGCGGAGGAAAATGGATGGATGGATGGATGAAATTGTTCAACTCATCAGGTTCATCAGAATTTAAATAGTGTCACATAATGTGAGTGTGGAGACCAGGGCTGTGATGGACCAGATGCTGACCACTGCCTCAACTGTTTTATGTTCTACACCAGTAGAAATATTATATTATTAAATAAACAAAGCACATAGAGCTTTAATCTGCGTAATGCCACCTTTACCACTGTGCACTGTGTTTACAGGTTGTTTGATAGTTCCAGTGAGGGTTTCAGGAACTGGGAGTTCATGACTATTCATTTTTGGGGTGAGAGGGCAGAGGGCTTGTGGTCTCTGGAGATTACTGACTCACCATCAAGGCCACGCAGACCTGAGGTGTTGGGTAAGGTGCAACAACACAGGCACACTCAGGAACACACTGAAATTTCGATTTACCCTTACTGCAATTTACAAAAAAGCTTTATTATCATTATTATTATTATTCCTACTTGGCACAGGCAAACTAAAAGAATGGACATTGATCCTTCATGGCACCTCCCAGAACCCTTACCAGCCCTACAGTACTCAGCACCACCATTCAAGTCTTTTGGAAACCCCAGGCCCAGATGAGGTCCTGGAGGAGCCAGAGCTCCAAGACGAGGAGAAGGAGGAGTACAATGGTGAGAGAAAATACTTCCAAATTTTCACATTTAATCTTGAGTATATAATATTGCAGTTACCAAATTCTAATTAAAATTTGGTTGGTAGCACTCTGCTTATAACCAGGCAGACTCAGGAATAAGTTGGCATTCACCCTGTAATGTCTTGTCACATATGATAAATATGTAAAAAAATAAATAAATCCAGCATGTTGTTTAAGATGATGATGGTGGTGATGATCAATCAGTGTGGTTCACATAGGACCCTGCCACAGTGAGTGTGGAGACCAGGGCTGTGATGGACCAGATGCTGACCACTGCCTCAACTGTATCCATTTCAGCTTGAGCAGGTCAAAAAATGACAGGTAAGAAGGAAATAGAACCAGACAGGGTGTGCAGGTGGAAAGTGACACCAACTTCAGTGCAAAGAGTTTGGAAATGTAGACATACTTCTGAAAATAAAGGGGTTAGGATGTGACACTGGGTCTATGGTATTGCTCATAGTGACAATCCCACAGAGAATTATTGCCAACTCTGCAGTTTCTTACATTTCTACAGTACGGAAGTCTTTAGCTCATTGTTTTGGTTTTAACTTTACTTTCATAAGCTGCACTTTTTGCAGTTTTCCTGAAAAGACCTCTAACAAACCATTATACTCTACCTGCTCAGCAGCACACAGACACGGTTAGGCTAGCTGGTGAACACAGTGGAGACTTTAGCAGCTAAATAAACACATGTCCAGATGAATGAGGCTGTTGTTTGTTATCTGCTGAATAGGCTGATTTTGACCAGTAGCTTAACCCACAGGGTTCACACACACTGTGATGTGACAGTAAATGATGAATAAAGTTCCAACGCTCATTAAAAATCACATTTACTAATTATAAATACCTTTTATTGCGTAATGTGTAGTTCCCTTGTCATTTCACTCTGACTAGCCTTTGTTAAATCTCAAGTCAAAGTGGTTTGGTTGTTTAGCTTGGCCTTTTAAATTCTAGCAGTGAAATAATTTCTCCCCCCGACAACTCTGAGTCTAATTTATAACTGTTAAGTCTATATTGTGCTACAGGCTAGACTCTCATTGCACCTTCCTGTATGTGTGTGTAGAGCCTGCGTGAGCCACTGTCCACTGGGACACTACGAGGACACAGTGTCCCGTCGCTGTAGACGCTGCCATAAAGGCTGTGAGAAGTGTGTTGGCCGATCAGCCGGAGACTGTCTCTCCTGTCGCAGAGGCCTTTACCTCAACACACTCAGCTCCAGCTGCATTGATACCTGCCCCCCAGGTTACTTTGCTGATAACTGTAAGTTACCACATGCAGAGTGTAGACTGAACTCACTTGGTCTTTCAACAAATATATGATCAGCCATGTAAATCAGACATTTGCAACCTTTTTACTCTGACCATTCTTATTTACTGTCTCCTTGTGGTTTGGGATGTGTTGGGGGACAAAGAGGGTGTTTGGTATCATAACTGAGGGGTTAAGCTTTAAATGGTTCAAATGTATGTATGTTATAACACACAGATGAAAACACACACACTAGGACTACATAAGAAATCTAAAAGTGTCCCAAAGAAAGCACATTTGTTTCCTATTCATATTAGCAAGCTAGTTATAACAGAAAGAAGAGTACTGTCCATCCAAATGGAAGTGTCCAAGTGGATAATGATGGACTAATGGGCTTACAGTATTATTATTGTTAGTAATAGTAGTAAAAGAAGTAGTAATCATCAGTGGTCGTTGTTATATCCAAAGTTTCAAGAGAAACGTTTTATGTTGCAGTCAATATCTTTTGATAAATGGCTTTTGTTTTGAAACTGGCCAAAATAGTCTAGCTAAACATTTGAAACCTAAAAGGTATCCCGTGGAGTCTTTTTTATTTATTTATTTATTTTTTACCACTAATGGTCCGATGGAGTGGTGCTCTTGTTAATGGTTGCCTGTTTTTTTTTTCTGGCTTTATGCTATACTACTGACCGACAGCTGATTGTGGGTAATGTGGAGGTAATGTGCAAGTAAAAGGCAGTAGGAAAAACACTGATGTAAACAATGCAGGTTTCAGAATATTCAAAATCTGATTTTGCAGAGAACTTTCAAGAAAAGCTCACCGGGTACCTTTAGTTATCATCACTGATCTCTGTCTGAATTGTTATATGAATTAAACCTGTAGATTTTGGAACGTTTGAGCTTAAATAAAGGCCTTTAAAAAAAAATGACATAGACCAATTTAGATGTTAGGAAAATCCAGGAGTCTCAGTGTTATTTCCACCACTACTCTGATGTCAGTGATTGCTGTCTATGCCAGATCAAAAACAGTGTTCGAAGTGTCACGACACCTGTAGGAGATGCCTGAGGTACGCAGACAGATGCAGTGCCTGTAATGAAGGCTACAGGTGTGTAAAGACAAATAGACTAGCTACTACTCATATACGTATGAACGTTGGCTTAATATCATTTGGGTTTTTTTGTTGTAGTCTGGCAGGGGTGACTTGTGTCCCTGAATGCACCAATGGAACCTTTTTCCATCTGGAAGAGATGATGTGCAAGCCATGCCATTCATCTTGTAGGACTTGTACAGGTCAGTGTGTTTGCCAGGTATATGCAGTTTCTACACACAGAAGAATCCTAGAAGCAGAAATGCTGATTCAGAAACCTGTGGTTTAGCAGACAAAGCGATTCAGAAGTATGATTATACACTTCTTTTCAAAAGCACTGTGTGCTCCTGATACTGTGTTGTACAGTGGCCTGCACGTTTTGATCTTGCTTGACTTTAGGTTTCAAATCTGTGTTTCCCAGGGCCGAGTGAGGAGAAGTGTATCCAGTGTGCTGAGGGCTACCTGCAGCAGGAGTGGAGGTGTGTACAGACCTGTAGCCCTGGCTACTACTCTGAAGAGGCAGCAGGAGTCCCTAATAACATGTGTCACAGGTGAGAATAATATATCTCATATCATTCAGTCAGAAAAAGTACATTTAGTATTAATTGTGCTTGCTGTAGCACCCCCAGACAATTAGCCTTTTATAATAGGAAATAGAACAGATAGGATTTTGTTCAGGATTTGATGACTACAGCTATGTTCTACTGGAATTACATATGTCACTCTGTGTCTCCAGATGTGAGCAAAACTGTCTGAGCTGTGGAGGCCCCGGAACGACTTGCACCAAATGCAAAGATGGCTATAGTCTGGTCAGCAGGACTTGCATCGCAAATGCATCGTGTAATAATGGTGAGTTTGAAATTATATCCAAACATCAGCTTGATTCACCAAGAATGTCTGTGTGATGTAGTACACATCCACTGGAAGGCCACCTAACTCCAGCTATTCCTCTTAGCTACATAGGAGCTGCTAAGTCAAAAGTAAGTTGAGTCACACATACTACAGCAGAATATGGAATTTTAATTTGGGATTTGAGTACAGTGCAAGCAGAACAAACACTTAATACCAGGTGTAAATGTAAAGGGCCTCATATTCTGCATATAATGTATCCATAAGTTACCTACTGTATGTAGATTTCATAGGTATTGTTCAGTGTGCTAGCCTGTTTAAATTCTACATGATTTCAAGATATTATTTTCCAAAAAAACTGGTTATCAGTCATTTTCCCAAAAGGTAGGGAATGGTTTGATACAAAGCAGATTTAACTTGGCACTTTAACAGGGGGCAGACATTAAAGTTCTTGTGCTTATGTCTGTTTCGTTGGCTTTGCTGTGCTCTGTCAGCTGATGAAATGTTCTGCGACATGGTCAAGTCCAACCGTCTGTGTGAGAAGAAGCTTTACCGTCAGTTCTGCTGCCGTACCTGTATGATGAACGGATGACGAGCCAACCACCTGACACCTGTTTCTCTCTTACATAGTCAGCATTAAAAGGAAATAACAACAAATTGTATCAAAGTTTGAAAAGAGCTCTTCAGTTACTGTTCTGCAGGTTGCTAAAGATTTTCATAGATCTCCTTAAAACAGTGCCTGCAGTATGTGGAATGTGTACAAATTCTCAAACACCTACTGTATTGAACAAAACTGCATTATAATGAATGTTCTTTTTACAACAAAACAAAGTACTGTTTAAAACTGTTTTTACTCAAATGTAAGGAGGAATGAAGCTGGTAATCGTGATTTCTAAGGTTTTTCTTTTTTCTCAGCCATATACAGGCAGATTCCATACCAGATAATATAACCACGTATCTAATGGACCAATAAATGTAATAAGCATAATTATCATAATTACAAAAGACACAAAGACCAAACTATACTAGATGGACTACATTTAGCATCTACCAATTTTTGAAGAAATATTCCAGCTAATGAATGAATTATCTTACTATGAGCAGCCAGTAAATGAACCAACTCATTAATGTTACGTATGAAGACACACCTGCAGGGCTTTGTCATCACTGACTTAGCATAATGCAGTCCAGTACAACACCACCTTTAACTATGACCTCACTAACAAACATATAATTGAATTTACACATTTATGACAATTTCAACAAAAACTGAAACACTTTGAGCTTCATATACACAGATGTTGAGGCAGAAATGTTGCATTGAATTGCTGGTGAGTGTAGAAGAATATGCACAGACATTGAAGAACCTTTCCTAACTTTTATCACAGTGTTAGTTGCATAACCTTGAAAATGTTACTGTGCAGATGCCTTCATCCTACAAACTGATAAAAGTTGGCTTTGACAACCTGTTTTATTGAATAGCTATGCACACTTGTTGGTCGTTGTATTATGCAGCCAAGTGAAGCTGGGTGCTTTAACATCAATTCATCTCTTGAAGCTTCATTGCACAAGTATATTAGAACTATCTATTTGGACCGGTTGAAATCAGAAATTATATGTCACTAGTGAAAAATAGTTAAGTGTTTACATCATGGGACACTTTTCATCATTCCTTTTTCATAAAGCTTGTTCAGGTGACCCTGCTGCTATTATGCTTATACTGCTGGGGGACCTCCCATGATGCATCAAGCACCTCTCCTCTCCTCACTCTCCATACATTTATATTCCACCACTGCATGTCATTAACTTTGTGTCTCCTCCTTCCCATAGTTTATGCTCTCTCCCTGTACCCTCCCTTGTATAAAATGAATATAATTTAATTGAACTCAATTGGCTTGATGGCTTGGCAGAGAGATTGGCCAGCAAATCTCCAGTTGTCTACTACAGTGTTCTTACACAGGGGAATATCTGTGCAAATGGTCTCAGTAGCTTATGCCAATGATGCTAAGATGTGCTTGAAAAGCGACTCAGCCTTCCCCCAGAGGTGCAGGACTGGATAAAACAGGCAGATCGAACAAAGAACTTAATGCACCAGGGTTCTGCGCACCACAGGTCCCCCCATGTGATACTGCACTCGACCGTCTGATCCCACCTTGTCCATGCTCCCTGCTGTCACATTCCAGCTGACTTTTTCTACTGCTTTCACCGCCTGCTGCCTCTCTTCCACAGACTTTGTCATAGTGGGGCATGGGGAACAACCCCGGTCCCGCTTGTCCAGTAGTCACCAAGTCTATTAGTGCACTGTGGTGCAGTCTTGCCTCTGCCTTTTCAACAGCATCCTTGGCCGTCCATTTCTTGCCTGTCTTCATATCAATGCCAGCTTGAGAGACCTTGGGGTTGCCTGACTGTCTGTGTTGCAGCACTTCCCTGGCACGGATGTTCATGAACTCCTCTGTGATGGAACTAAGAGGAAGTTAGTCTTGTTCTTCTTCCAGTATAAGGCTGTGTTGCTCAATAATCTTGGGAGTCCCAGCCACCCCTGCTGGTGCTGGAAATCTTCTTTTCTAGTTCTTCCACAGCTGATATTGCCACCAGATACATGGGAGGAGCCAACACTGGCAAATCGAAGCCTTACTTGCCTGCTCTAACTTGTCTACTGAAAAAGAACTTAATACACCATTGTTGGGTTCCTCCATTGAGGTTCTGATTGACTCTGCGGCCTTTAATGAGCCAAGGCTCTTTACAGGCTTCTTCATCAGGTTTGGCATACAGGTTCCCCCCCACTGTGAACTGGCAGCAATCCACCAGCTTACCACCTCTGATCACAAGGGGACTTGTGTCCATGCAATGAGGTCCTCCCCAGTCCCCACAGAATCCAGCTTCATCCTGGAGACATCTTTGTAGTGACTGTCAGGTCAACCATGAATGCTCTGATGGGTGGTTGTCAGATCCCAGATTTGATCATAGGTCCCCTACACTCTACCTCAGCCAACTTCACCACAATGTTCATTGCTACAAACATGATACAGATGTCATATCCACACCCCTCCTACTGCCATAGGTGGCACCTATAACACAGTAATGGGGCCTATTGTGTGGAGAAGTGATGCCCATTGAAGCCCAGTGTTACATTTTTGCAACATTAAAATAAATGCATCCAAATCATGTATATTTTACTTTAAAAAAATGTATTAAAATATTCTATTACTAAACATCTTTAGGATAAAGAAAAAAATACTACAGGTCAAATAATTAGATAATTGTTGAAATTGGCCTAAATGAGAGAACTGTAAATCTTACAGTATTACTATTTTCCCACCAAAAATGTTGCAGTGATACAGTTCAGAATCTGGGGTGTTGGGATACGTAGCGTTTGTCTACAATCAGTCAGGAGTACTGTAGGTACTACAGATAGCACTAGACCAGGAGTGGGTAATCCCACTCCTCGAGTGATGCTGCCCTGCTTGTTTTTCGGGTAAGTTCAGTCAATCAGAAGCTGGAAGATATGGATAATAATAATAGTAATAAGGATAATACCTGTGTTTGGCCAAATATGTTACACACAAGGAATTTGTTTTCGGTACAGAACCGAGGCAGCCATCTGCGGCACCAACTCACACCGACGGCTCTAACCATCAGGGGCATCTTGGGGGACTGCAGACTGCAGTGATTCCAACCCTCCAGTTAGGAGATGACCGCTCTACCCACTGAATCACCGTCACCCATACTGATTCACTTTGTCCTCACTCCACCTGTATTTAAGATGCTATCTTCCAACTTCTGATTGAGTGAATACGTCTGATCCAGATCGTCAGCCGTAGGTAGGGCAGGGAGGGTTGGATAACAAGCAGGGCAGAGGCACTCGAGGACTGAGATTGCCTACCCCTGTGCTAGACAGTTTAAAATAGATGTTGCAGTCTTACAACTGTGGGCCTCTGGGGGCTAGGGAGAAGAGGACAATGATGACAGTGCATCCTGTAATAATCCCCTTCTTCTCTTCCCCTTGATGTCACTGAAGATGTTATGACCCCTGAAAATACACTCAGCCTAAGTCTGTGTAGTAATCCAGAATGCGGTTTCCCATGTTACTTGGGATATGTTGAAATTCCAGAGTAATCCCAACCAGCTATTGACCCATAGGCATTCATAAGGTCCAACCATCCATCCATTATCTTCTATACTGCTTATTCCTGAACAGGATCGCGGGGGGGTTGGGTCACAGGGCTGACATGTAGACCAAACAACCACACACACTCACTCCTAGTGGCATTTTAGAGACACCAATCAACCTAAGCTGCATGTGTTTGGACTGTGGGAGGAAGCTGGAGTACCTGGAGAGAACCCACGCAGGCACAGGGAGAACATGCAGACTCCACACAGAAAAGCCCGCCGTGAGGTGACAGTGTTAAGCACAATGGTGTCATGCCGCCCCAGGTTCTACCATAACACTTAGAAATCCTCCCTGATCCACTGGGCGACCACCTCAGCAAACTGGAACATGAGGGTGTGGTGAAAATTAATTGTCCACTTCACCTATGCAAGCGAGAAAGAATAAAATAGACTTACACCAAGATGTCTTCGATTTTAGTTTGCAGCAAGGATAAGTGAGAATATGCACAAATGATCTATCTCAGGGGTTCATGGGAGTTTGCCCAACCAGTCCACGTGTTTCGTGGATCTGGAGAAGGCATTCGACCGTGTCCCTCGCAGCGTCCTGTGGGGGGTGCTCCGGGAGTATGGGGCCCGGGGCCCTTTGCTAAGGGCCGTCCGGTCCCTGTATGACCGGAGCAGGAGCTTGGTTCACATTTCCGGCAGTAGGTCAGACTTGTTTCCGGTGCATGTTGGACTCCGGCAGGGCTGCCCTTTGTCACCGGTTCTGTTCATTATTTTTATGGACAGAATTTCTAGGTGCAGCCAGGGGCCGAGCGGCTGGGGTGGGAATCAGCACCTCCAAATCCGAGGCCATGGTTCTCAGTCGGAAAAGGGTGGCTTGTTCCCTTCAGGTTGGTGGAGAGTTCCTGCCTCAAGTGGAGGAGTTCAAGTATCTTGGGGTCTTGTTCACGAGTGAGGGAAGGATGGAACGGGAGATTGACAGGCGGATCGGTGCAGCTTCTGCAGTAATGCGGTCGATGTACCGGTTCGTCGTGGTGAAGAAGGAGCTGAGCTGTAAGGCGAAGCTCTTGATTTACTGGTCGATCTACATTCCGACTCTGACCTATGGTCATGAGCTTTGGGTCATAACCAAAAGGGCAAGATCCCAGATACAGGTGGCCGAAATGAGCTTCCTCCGCAGGGTGGCCGGGCGCATCCTTAGAGATAGGGTGAGGAGCACAGTCACCCGGGAGGAGCTCAGAGTAGAACCGCTGCTCCTCCACATCGAGAGGAGCCAGCTGAGGTGGCTCGAGCATCTGTTTCGGATGCCTCCTGGGCGCCTTCCTAGGGAGGTGTTTCGGATAAGTGGAGGAAAATGGATGGATAAATGGTGAAATATTCTGTACTTTTAAGAACACCATTTCTACCTCCAGGAAAATTCTTTATTCTTTACAGGTGAACTCGTGTTGCACCGAGGCAAACTAAACATTTAAGCTGATTACAGACTTTCTGAAACTTTGATTTCTCTGCTCTTTTGGGTGACTGAGTTTGTTGCAAAAATGATCACCACTCAACATAAGAATTGATATGTGAAATTCCACTAGTGGAGAATTACACTGTCCCAAAGTAGAGGACACTGGATAGGATGGATATCTATCTCAGCTGAGAGGCCAGAGGTGTGAACCCTCATGTAGAGTTATCACAGTCTTAACAAACAAAAATAGTTTCATGGAACAGTTACATCCTTCCATCATGTATAAAACTATGCTGCAGATATCACCCTGTCTGCTTCTCTAATCCCTTCAAGTCTTGTAATGCAAGGACTCACCTTGTCCTCCCTTTCTCAGGCACCTTTCATAGACAAAATGTAGTCAGCACAATTCCTTACATCCGTCATAAAACCTTCACAAGCCTCTAAGACACAGCATTAAACCATATGCACATAATATCACAGAAACACATTATCATGCAAATCTGTAACCTTGCTATAACAGGGGGTCCATTCTGCAATGTCAATATAAATATTCCTGAGGTGATACTCAGTAATAGTATACTGAAAAATAACAACTGGCATATCCATCATCTATCTATACCACGTATCCAGAAGTGGGTTGTGGTGGGGCTGGAGCCAATCCCAGCTGACACTGGATGAGGGGTCACCAATCTATGACAGGGCTGACATAGACTCCCACTCGCAGGCAATTTACAGTCACCAGTCAACCTAACTTAACCACATCTTTGGACTGTGAGGGGGAAGCCTGAGTGCACAGAGAAAACCCATACAGGAACAAGGAGAACATGCAAACTCCACAAAGAAAGGCCACAGGAGGCCATAATGTTTGAACCAGGAAGCTTCTTGTTGTGAGGTGACAGTGCTAACCACTGCACCTTCAACTAACAAATCAACTAAAAAATATCAAACAGGAACAATACTGAAAAACAGCTTTCCCTCCATGTTCACTATTGAGATAATAAAAATCAAACCAAACCTTAGTGAAGATGGTGGCATGAAGGTACAAGCCCAGGCCAGCAGTCATGCAGACAAGCCCTCATAGACCCATATGATGTTAAAGTGTTCTGGAGGGAAACATATAATAGGGGTGGTGAGTGACCGGAGGTTTAAATTATTGCACTGAACCAGCTGGAATGTGCTGAAACTCGCTCATCGGTTTGTATCCTTTGTGTGTTTCTGCTAACGATACAGATACTCTCATTACGGATCAGATGGATTCTTTCTGTCTCATATCATACCTTCCTGCTAGAGTCATCTGCTCAGCTGAAGGCAGGACATCAATTAATTTCACAATATACACATTTGTCTGGACCAGGCTGTTCAGTAAGTAAACATAGACAACTGATTTTGGTAACAAAAGATTAAAGATGCATTTTTTACCTGTGAGTTTACTGCAGTTTGGCAGAATGTTGGATTCAGTGTTGCTGATACTGAGCTCCAAAAACGCTGTGTTATCTCCAACATATCTTGCTGTGCGCTGGCCATTATGGTCATTTACAACATATGCTCCACAGTCCTCCTGGTCATTGGTTTTAGAAAGTGAGATATTCCTAAATACTGATAGTACTGTGTAAGGCCAAGCTGATCAAGGCAGAAATAGCACTTAACACTTTTTAAGAAATGAGTTATATTTTTGACAGTGTGCCTTGTTTTTGTTTTAAACAGTAACTGTCAGAGAATGTTCACAAACAAACCGAGCATCATGTTTAGTTTCCCTTAGTTAGCATGAGCTAACTAAGGGAAACTAAACATGTAGCTACAATAAAGCAGCTGATTCTTTTCACTGTGTCCCTGATGTAAAGATAGCAAAGCTGCAGGAACTGGCTACAGGTGACATCACACTATCAACAGACCAACACATACCTACAGCATATGATCTTCAATAAAGTCTTTCACTCAAACATCCAAATAGGATGACAAACTTACACTTCACAGAACCTGTGATGAAATCACAGCCAATACACTGAACGTACATTTAAATCAAAGGCTAAGTTTAGAGGAAAAAAGATGTGTGATGCTTCATCTAGCCCAACAGAAGACTGTTCATCTTATTAACATGTGTTGTAAACAAGCAGGGATAGGGTTTTAGCTTGCTTAATTTACATAATGACAGTTCTAGCATAAAAACAATCACTTATCAAGAAGATATATGGGAATTTAATTGAAAAAAAATTGCTTTTTTGGTCTTCTATGTGAATTTTGACAACATACTGTAGTTTCCACATTTATTTAGACCAGCTATGTCTTTCTGCTTTATTGGGCTGCAGTATGACATGTATGTATTCCTGCTTCCAACTAGGGGAGTGTTTTGTCTCTCATATTAACACCTTTACATCATATGCCTTAAGTAAAGGTATTCACATCTTCACACCTACTGAGACACTTGAATGCAACAGAGCCATCAGTACTTTTATTAGTAACTGCTGCTTTTCCTGACAATTCAAAACACCTGCTGTCAAAAAGGATTGTGATGGCAGCAGCCAAGGGGTTCAGTCTGTTAAGCTCGGATTGCTAAATATGAATCAAATGAATAAAAGAATCCTAGGTTGAAAAAAACTGTTTCTAAAAAGACTGGACTCTTTTATAAAAGTGCCTGAATAGTAACAACTCAAATGAGTTTTATTAGGATAATACTTTTACGTACAGGTAACCAGAAATAATAAAACATATGCCTGGCCTGTTAATCCCTTATGTGGTGGGAGGTGACAGTGGTGCGGTGGGTAGAGCAGTTGTCTCCCAGCCAGAAGGTTTGAATCTCAGTGCCTCCAGTCCATGTGTCAAAGTGTCCTTGGCCAAGACACTGAACCCCCCCCGTTGCCCCCGATGATTAGAGCCATCGGATGAGTTGGCGCCACAGATGGCTGCCATAGATTCTGTACCGGAAACAAATTCCTTGTGTGTAACATACTTGGCCAATAAAGGTGATTATCCTTATCAGTCCCACAATGATAATTTAATTGGAGTCAAAATAAACGTAAGAAAAAAAAAAGTTATTTTGATTAGACATCAGAGCCTCAGTGTGTCTGTTGTGATGCTACAACACCGATATCTGTGTGCTGTCATTGTGTAAAGAGAGGAGGCTTTTAACAGTTGCTTTCTTCCTGTGAGTATCTGTTCCTCCCTTCAGGCAGTGCTTGCTCAGTCTGGATTTGTCAAGATTCCTCTCAGTCTAGGTTCCATCACTTTGCTGACCTGTTTACTCTCAGTCACTTAATGATGGCAGTATCTTCTGGTAAAGCTCAGTCATGTGCAGGTCCTGGAAGGCTGCAGTCAGCTCTGCTAATGATTGGTAGTTCTTCACTACAAAACCCTGGAGACTGATAGAAAGAGACCATGAAAGCTGCAGTAATAATCATGCGTGACCCAACACTGACTATATGGCCCTAGAAGTTCTGCCTTCAATCCATGTCTCTGCTACATCAGTCTGTGATTCATACCTGTGTCCACAACAGAAAGCTGAAGGGGACTCAATAAGAACCTTCATCATCCTCTCTTTGCATTTCTTGCCTGAGGAATCCACGTCCACCTTTACAGACTTCAACCGGTGGCAAAACTCCTGGACAGACAATGATTACAGTCAGAACAGTACACAGTGCACATGGAGAAGCAGCACATGGCAGGAGTCATCCTGGAGCTGACCACAAAACACATTTGGAAAGAATACACAGAAAATGTGCAACATTCGAGTTGCAGAGTGCAGTCAGACGTTACAGAGTGTTATGTACATAGAGTACTGACACCCTCCACACTCTTCTTCTACATCAGCAGCTTCATTTTTGCCAAGTCTGCTGTTGTTGGGCGCTCAGTTTTGCAGTTTGAACTGCTGTGCAATTACCCACTTGGTGACTGCCAAATGACCCGTTATAAACTGTAGCGAGCTTGTTTTAATATTACTGCAGTACTAACATGCTGTGGCTACTGCAGTATCATCAGACTGTACCATAATCAGACTGTACTGTGACAGAAACACACAGGCCATAATATTCACACCTTCCAGCTATTTGCTGTCCCATAGTTTTCTGTTTTCCTTCTGACTTTCCATTTACAGTCAAACTGCACCAAAGTAATGCTGACTTTCATTTTTTGAGATGCAGCCTCTTGTTTGAGTAAAACATTTTGGAACATTCAATAATCAAAACTGCAGAAGTTGTTTCCTCACAGTTTTTGGTACCTCACAGTATGGGTTGTGTATTCTAGGCTGAGCTGTTTCATTACTGTACTGTATTATGCATCCTGTACCTGCCACTGTTTGTGACTGCTACACATTAGTTTCTATTAAGCTTAGCACTAAGTACATACAGTGCACTGACAAGGCTGCGCTGGCAATGTGGTGACTTCAAGCTACTATATTCCTGAACCTCTGTGTTTTATTGGTAGCACATCCGCCACATCTGACAGAAGCACTCCAGGGTCAGATTCTGTGCGGTGATGCTGTCTCAGTTCATGTTAGTAAGAGTAATCACAGAACAGCTAATGCAGGCATATCCATGGCATCATAGACACTATGCGGCCAGAGTATGCTGTGTATACTGTAAAAGAAGTACTGTCTGCAAGACTCTGTGTGACACAGTGTTAAACATACAGCTTGGTACCTTGATGTCAGCTCTGGCTCCCTGCAAAATAATCAGTATACTTCGACCCAGTAGTAACCTCCCAGCCAGCTGCAGCTGCTGGGTCCATTGCTCCAGTCGTCCAACATAACGATTTCTAGATCGGATGTGGTCCAATAGCAGCACTGCAGTCCATTCCTCTTCTTCTCTCTGTTTCACCTCCTTCTCGCCTCCTGTGCACTCCTCTGCTAGCTCCTTACACTGCTGCACAAAACAAAGCACAAAATGGGTACATCAGTTATAATAATGATTTATTGTCCTCCACAGATTTAATTTCTCTTTTGTTTCCTAATAGTTTACCTTTGGTGAATTTTTACCCAAGCAGGCTACAAACTGCTGAAAAGGTTATAGCTCATTTGACAGTCAGTAAGTTTAGTTGCTAACCTGTCAACACTCTACTAGCTTATAAACCATTGGCTCTGATGGTAAGGCTGCAGCTTGATCCAGCAGCTTTTGTCTGATGCTGTGACACTGGGTCCTGGAAAGACGAGTGGAGGAGACAGAGATGTTGGGGGGACAGCAAGGGTAGTGGGGGTGCAGATTGAACAGCAGGCTCACATCCAGTCCTGTTTCTCCTCCAACAGTGCTGTTGATTTGGACCAGGAGGCCATCCTCAGCTGCAAGGCAAACAGAGTAACGTTACAGCAGTGCCATGGCATGAACAGTCACTAAAGTAAATGTCAAAATCACAGAGTTCAACTGCAACTTTTTGAAATCTAACATCCACATTCTTGTTCAGTGAATCAGAATGAGTTGACTGTGATGCTGCAGTGCCACACAACATTACGTACCATCAATGAAATGCCCATCCTGGTAATAACTTATACAAACTGGTAACAAATGAAAGGAAAACCCAACACAAGCTGTCTCAGTAAGGCGTTGGGCCACCACCTGCTGCCAGAACAGCTTCAGTGCACCTTGGCTTCAAGTCTCCAAGTCTCTCAACTCAACTGGAGGGATGAAAAAGATGTTCCCTCATGGCGGAGACGCTGTCTAACACATCTAAAATCTCCCACAGGTGTTCAACTGTAAAATCTCCCACAGGTGTTTAACTGGACTGAGGTCTGGTCACTGAAGGCCACAGCATCTGGTTCACATCATTTTCATACTCATAACCATTAAGTGACCCTCGTGTCCTGTGGATCATCGTGGAGGATAGCACTCCCATCAGGACAGAAACGTTTCACCACAGGATAAGAGTGACCGCTCAGAACAACTTTGTACTGATTTACAATGACCCTTTCTGGCTAAGGGGACATATGGGCCTAAACCATGCCAGCATCTGCTTTCACCATGTTTCTCCAACAGTGAAATAAAATAAAGAGATAGACAAACAGTTCTGGTCCACTTCTACTGGCTTTTAAGGTATTTCTGAATAGGAAAGTCTTTACTGAGGACACATGACATTCTTCACTTTAAAACCATTAGCTATATTTGTCTCATTATTAGTATCTATTTGGCAATATTAATATTTCCATAAAAGTATTAGGAAACTTGGATTTACTTAAGTAACTGGTGCAATGGGCCGTATGAGCACTGATGTTTCTAATTCTCCTTTTCGCAGCTCTTTAACAAAAGCTTCAGGTTAAATGCTGATGTGCTTCATTATTGCCATTTATTTCATCTTTGCGGTGACAGCGCAGAGCTGACTATCTTACCAGACTGCTGGATGAGCCGGAACTCCCCTTGTCCGCAGTAAATGGACGGTAAAACTGAGACCTCCTCTAAAGCAGCTTCAGACATTACTGCTGAATCTCCACCATAGCACTAGCTTCTTCTGAACAGCTTCGAGCAAGAGACGTGTCGACTAAAACACTACAGACGTGTCGGTACTTTCAGTGGGTATAAGAATGTTGCACAAGTCGCACCTTTATTTCGTCCGGGTAGTTTCGCATCTGAGATCCGTTCCGCGCCACAATGTCCTGCCAGCGGCGCACATTGCACCAATTGTCACCACAGTTCGATAAGCATTTAATAAGGACGACGACGACAAAGCGGTTTGAACAAAATCTTACCATAATGGAATATAGTATTGTAGGATATGACATAATGCTGCTGAAAATGGATTGTATTATCTAGTGAAATAGTTTTACTATTTATTACAGCAAATTCTATATTATACCTATATTATATTATAGCAAATATAGTATAGTAGCCTAATGATTTTACCTATCGGTAAAAGCACACGCGCCAGTCCAACTGGTTCACTTCTTATTACAATAAATGTAATAATATCTTTTTAATTAAAATTGAAGCATGACAATCAAGTGCAAACCATTTTACTGCAATATGTCATACACTGTTCTCTGTTCTCTGTGAAGGACCCCAGTAACAACTGTCTTCCAGATTTTGGGTTCATTCAGAGCTGTTGCCCCCATGTGTGGTAGGTTTTTAGAACATTGGAAGTTTCCTTTAAAAGGCCGACTTGCAGCCCTGAAAAGCTGAAACACTAACTACACCCATAATACAAACAACAACAAAAACAGAGAAATCAATTTATAATAAAAAAAAGAACTGAAGAAGTGAAATAAAAGTAATGGACATGTGTGCAGGTAATATTTTGGCATCAAAATCACAGACAATTTTTTTGTTGTGCATAAAGATGCCAACAGTAACAGTTTAGTTTTTGTTAAAAGCACAAACACTGTTGCAACTGGTTCACTGTGGGTGAGCCATCTATTACATTTCACACAGAATGCCATTGTTGCAGTCACAAATTCTTTGGTATTCTCATGTTTACTTCTTTTGTTTGCATTGGAACAACACAGAAAAGCCAAATCTGATACATTTCACCCAGAACTCCAAAAATGGAGTTCAACAATTGTCTGGTAGAAGTGGTGTGTTATCTGACAGAAATGCAGGGGTGCCAGTATTTTTGGACATGACTGGATATATAATGCAAATTGGCCCAAACCTTAAATGTTTAATTAATGCTGGAATCAGCTTAAAATATACAATAAGAGGCAATAAACATACACATTTGGTGTGTTTAGTCAAAACTGGAACAAGAGGCCACAATCACCTCATGTCAGGAGCCACTTGTACCTTTCTAAACAGCATTCACACAACGGACACTGAAGTATTACACCTGAAATTTATTCACAGAAATTGGGTCCAAACAGATCTTTTTCTGACAATAAAATATTTATCAGGTCACATTAACAAAGCACTAACACAAGAGAAAAATAGTGTGATACCCCCCTCAAAAGTGCATGATCAGTTTGGTAGCAGACACTACATAACAGCACCTAGGTCTGCTATAGGCCACTCACTGTTCCCAGTCATCCAGATTGCTCAGTTCAGATCCCTTACACACTGCAACAAGTAAAAGCATCAGTTTAAATAATCAATTCATTATCTAGAACCCAGTTTTCCCAGAGAGCTATAGAAAAGGGTTTCTCCGCTCCATCCTCCCAAGTGTGTGTATGTTTTTACTTTAAGAATCAAAACATCTTTTAAAAACTAGAGGACATAACCTTTTGCACAACAGTTGTAGAGGTTTTTACAGGTAAAAAATCTACCAGTATTAGTTCATCATAAAAATCCACTAGAAAAGTTGGTGTGTGAAAATTAAGTTGGAATACTGTGGATATTTACCCATAGCCGTCCCTGGTAGGCTAGTGGTTAAGGCGCAGCGCTTTCGTCGCTGCGGTGCGGGTTCGAATCAGGGTTGCGTCAAGAAGGACATTTGGCGTAAAACGTGCCAAATGTCAACATGCGAGTCGTCAGTTTGACGATTCGCTGTGGCGACCCCTAAACGGAAAAATTTACCAAGCTGGGAAAAAAAAAAACACAGTGGACTGCATACTGTACGTCTCCACATGCTGACCAAAGGGACACATTAACCATCTCAGGCTACATGTGTTCTAACATGCATCCATTTGAACACACATTTTACATGTGACAAAAAGAGACATCCATTTTAGCATTTTCAGATAGCTCTTTAAGATGTCACCATTCACAGTGGAGGAGCCCAGCTGTCAGACAACAGAATATTTTGACAAACAGGTTCTGTTCTTTATCAGCAGGTTCATGTCTGTTCTGTAGCCTCTGCCTTTCTCGTTACTTAGAAGTAATTTTAATGTATTTTAATGAAGGGGTGTTGTCACAGACATCCTTCTGTCTGTGGTCAGACGAGTGTATGACAGTGATCTGATGGTGGGTGACAAACCCACTAACAACAGTTTCTAGGCTGCTGCTTCAAGTTCCTCCTCAAGTCCACATTTAGTTAGTGAATAGAAAACGGTTTGTGTTGGCAGAGCAAAAGTTTAGGCACCCCTTGATAAATAACAGATTTTGGTGACTGTATACATCTACAGTTCTAAGCTAGTGTGCAAACCAGACGTGTTCACAGTACAGTGGTCACCCAACATACAATACTTTGACTCTGTGTATTCTCAGAATCACTGCCAGCAGTAAAGTGAAAATGTTACTATTTAAAGTAGAAGTTTTCCACTAAGAGTGGTCAGGTAGGAGAACTTATTCCACAGTTTTCAAAATAAAAGTCAAATTCAGTTCTAGCACTGACAATGTTAAACTGTGTTAGAAAATCTCTTTTTCTCCATAAACGTTCACAGGTACAGGACTGTGTGCATAAAAACTTGAGGAAGACAGAGCTTCAATTGTGACGACAGCAGAAGCTTAAGACTACACTTTTAAAAATCTAATTGTATAAGAAATAATTTAAATTCATTCACTTCAGATTGAGTCAGTTTTACATTAATTCAGCAACTCTGACAACGTTCAGCAACACTGTTTGTTGGCAAAGTCCCTTTTACAAAAGACCTTTTGACTTCTTTTTAACGGTTCCTGAGTGAACCATGACAATAAGCCAGCATGCTCAACACAAGGACCTGGAACTGTACCTCAATTAGATGGCATGCAGTCATCAGTAATGTGCAGTTAACGTCAAAATGTCTGCTGTGAAAAAGGCCTACTGCAACAGTGAAGGCCGCTCACGTTCCTTCAGCAGGGGTTTTCAACTACTGGTTCATTGCCCCCTGGTGGTCTGTGAAGGCATTGCAGGCAGTTCTCGACCAGGCATTTAATAATCTAATTTCCCTATAGGAATCACAATTTATCTTATAAAACACATTTTCATGTATTGATTATAGTCACTGTCATAGTGAAAAGATAAATTCATGCAAATTATAAAATTTATATAAGCCAAGGTGACTTTCAAAACTCAAATAGTGCCCAACAAGTCTATCCACAACACAACAGCGGTCCTCAGGTTGCTACAAATGAAGCTGAAATACTTCAAACTGACAGCCATAATATAAATGTGTGACCCTGTTACATTTGTTGGGATGCACTTGTATTTCCAGGTCAAGGAACAGCAGAAAACAGGGTTTTCATAAAAAAAAAAAATAAAAAAAAAAATATATATATATACTTAGATGGGAAAATACACAATCCTTAAACCTGTACATCCGCTCACTTTGGAGCTCTTTAAAATCCTGTTGAGGCCGTCTCAAGTCTGAAGAATGCCGACCTGATACGAAAAGAACTTGTGACTTGCCTGATTATCTACCTGACCCTGAGATGACCCTGTACATTAAAACTAAACAGAACAGTAGCTGACTTAAAAAAGTGCTTCACATGAATTTGCTCTAGTGTGTGTAGAACACTTTTCCAGTTCTTAAAATCTTCTGCTGCAGCCATGCACATTTATAAAAAAAAAAAAAAGGCACAGACCTGGTTTGCTCCAAAGGCAGGATGAATCCATGAAGGGTAACTAAATAGCTGCTGGTGAAGGAAGACAGTGGCCAGGTGGACGGCTGGCTTTAAATGCACTTCTTGTGTTTTTGGAAACCTGAGAAGAGAGGAGGCTTTCCCCCTCTAGGTACAAAGTAGACCTCTGATTAGTAAGATGGAGGCTGAGGAGTGGTTGTTATTATTGTCCAGAAAATGTCTTAACAAGCTACATCTAACCAGGAGAGTGACTGCCGTCCTGGTTGGGAGGCTGGGAGGTCTGATGGTCTCAGCGTGTCTTCCTATAGTAAACAAAAGTTGCCACCAATACTAGTGATGCCACTATGGCTACTGTCCTCCACCGAGAAATGCCACGGATCACGCCCACCTAAAAAATTCAAAGGAGCAAAATGAATAGCTTGAATTAATTTAGCACATAACTCTAGATGGATGAAGCATGACTCACCCAGCCTCCCTGCTGTATGAGCCAGGAGTAGAGCAGATCCTTGATAACCTGGAGAACCCAGCTGATGACCGTCCTGATGGTGTCTAGATGGTTGGAGGTCAGTGCCTTCAAAACAAAATACACCAGCTCAGTCAGAACAACTCTGCCCTTGTCAGCTACTGAGGCCAGGGATCTGTGTATAATGCAAGCACGAAATCTCAGAGTGACTCTAGAGCTAGCCAAACCACATTAATTTGATTCACTCGAAACTTGGTTTCTGTACAATGTGTACAGTGTTTACATTGTGAACACTAATTCATTAGTGTCTGCTTAGTCAAAAAGTACAGTGGCAAGAAAAAGTATGTGAACATTTTGGAATTTCATGGTTTTCTGCATTGTCATAAAATGTGATCTGATCTTCATCCAAGTCAAGAGTACTGATGAATATAATGTGCCTATAATGTCCCTGCTTGTTCAATGTTTTACGTACTGTAGACTCATGAGCATCCAGTGTTCCAATGATGCAATCTTTGATGCTGCACCATTAGCTATGCTAAGTCACGACAGTCACATTAACACGAATGATTCCACTACATGTGCACATGCTGCATATTACAGGACTGTAGTGCCTCCAGGTGGCAGCTGCTTTGGCTGTTTTGTAGTGTCGCAGCTACGAGAGGGACAAATTAAATGACTCTGCACGCTGATCTGCACTTGCAGCTATTAATGCTGTTATTAAGCCACAAGAGTCAAGTGAACAGTGAGTGTATTCTACTTTTTGAGTCTGTCTCCAACTGGATGGTAACTATAATAATGCAGTTGTCTGCTGAGCTGATTACCTTTACTGAAGCACTATACTTAAGTACAATTTACAGGTACTTGTGCTTGGAGCATTTCCATTTAACTTTTTTATACTTCCATTCCGCTATATTTCAGAGAGAAATATTACATCACGGCTATTACTACTAGTTACTTATGAGGTTAAGCTTCGGACCGGGGATAGGTCTCTCACTGTTGTTTGTGCCTATGGGCCGAACGGCAGTGCAGAGTACCCGGCCTTCTTCGTATCTTTGGGAGTGGTGCTGGAAAGTGCTCCGACTGGGGACTCTGTTGTTCTACTGGGGACTTCAATGCTCACGTGGGCGACGACATTGATACCTGGAGGGGCGTGACTGTGAGGAATGGCACCCACGATCTGAACCTGAGCGGTGTTCTGTTACTGGACTTCTGTGCTAGTCACAGTTTGTCCATAACAAACACCATGTTCAAGCATAGGGGTGTCCACCAGTGCACATGGCACCAGGACACCCTAGGCCAGAGGTCGATGATCGACTTTGTGGTTGTTTCATCTGACCTCCGGCCTTATGTCTTGGACACTCGGGTGAAGAGAGGGGCGGAGCTGTCAACTGATGACCACCTGGTGGTGAGTTGGATCCGATGTCCGGGAGATCTCAACTCCCGCCTCCGGGAGAGCTTCAACCAGATCCCGAGGGAGACTGGAGACATTGAGTCCGAATGGACCATGTTCTCCACCTCCGCTGCCGATGCGGCCACTCAGAGCTGTGGCTGTAAGGTCTCTGGTGCCTGTTGTGGCGGCAATTCCCGAACCCGGTGGTGGACACCGGAAGTAAGAGATGCCGTCAAGCTGAAGAAGAAGTCCTTTTGAGCTTGGTTGGCTCATGGGACTCCTTAGGCAGCTGACGGGTA